TCCTCAAGGCATTACATAGGAATTTCTCTTTCAGAATGAAGTATTTGGGTCTCCTTCTTTTAATAAAAGACGTTCTGTTACCTTTTTATGCCTTTATGGAGAGTACTTCGTGAAAATGAAAGTTATACTAAGTTTGTTATTCCGATAGTAACTCGTCTAACCTATCATTTTAGACCCAACAATGTATATATATATTCTATATATTATCATGATATATAGGATATAACTTTCGAAGGGATCGAGCTAGATGACCAAAATTTAGGTTATATCCAGATTATGTCTGGGTTTTTGTATAGGCCCCAAAGAAATTGTTCCTCCCGACATTAGGTATTTTTATTATTGTATTCATATATCTGACAGAATAGTTAGACATTTGGTGCGTAAAATCCTTAACGGGCACAACATTCATTCTCTGGCCGAAAAGTTTGGCCCAACTCAAGTTTAGTAAAAACTCTCGGATTTTTTTCCCCAGTGGTAGGTATTCGTACCCTGATTCTGAGAAAGTATTTTTTTCTTGGGGTGGACTCGCATACCCAATTATTCGACCAGAAAATCCGGTATGCCGACCAGAAAATTCGGTAAAAATACCACATGAGGGTTTGGGAGTTGTATCAAAATTATCAATTTTTGAAACCCGGATTTGGAAAATATCACTAAGTTATAGCTTACACTCTAACCTTCTAAAAATACTGCGCGTATTATTATCTTCCTTGATTTAAAAAATATGGGTCTTTGTAGCTAGACGACGACCGGCTGTGACCCCTTCGTGAACAGGTATTTTCATTAGCTTTCAAATTATATCTATACTGTACATATTTAGTAGTATCCCGGGCATCCGGGTTCGAGTCCTAAGGAAAAAAAGACATCTGAAAAAATCCGAAAGTTTGTACTTAACTAGAGTTGTATGTTTTCCTACAATCCTCATGCAACGGGACCTCCCGGTATTTCGTATTTCTATAATTTTAGACACATTTCTCATCTGATTTGGCTCAACTTTGATGTAATGTAATAGCTTTCTGGCTCGTAATAGCCACCAACCTCTCTGGTAGCAAATTGATCTCATATTATCAAAGTGTTACCATCAACTGCTTTTTTACTTGGTCATTTCTTAAACGGCATTTCAAAGGAATTTTTTCACTAAAAATCTTCCTTTCATTGCAGACCCTTTAAAGGCCTTAATTTCATGAAAAACCTGTCATTGATATTCTTTTCATAAAAGGTCTTATTTTATAAAAGATCTTTTTGTCTGTCAGTTTTGGTCATAGAATTCCTTCCATATGTTTCTTTGAGAAATCTTTGGAAGGGCAGGTGTTCCATAAAAATCCTCTAATCATAGATCCGAAAGTGGTATTTTTTGATAAAAAATACCTGTCTGATGTCCGATTTATTCAAGGGACGAAAATGGGTGGAATAATATCACCAAAATGTCTTCTAAAAAGAGGTCTTTACATAACAGACTTTTTGAGGTGTTATTTTCAGGAAAGTCCTGTCAGAGAGGCAGGTCAGAGGTTTTCTGAAGTCTTAAATCGGAAGTTTTTGAAAGAAATATCATTTCCATAGAAGTCCTCCAAACAACTTATTTTCAAAGGTAGGAAAGAGTCTCTAAAAAAATATTTTTTTACAAAGGACGGAAATTGTTGGAAAGATATCTGATCACCAAAAGGTCTTCAATGGAAGGGAGTTTTGGTAAGGTTTTATAAAGTAAGAAGAACTCTGAAAGATCTTCCATGGAAAAAAGACCTTTCATTGGTCTTCCATAAAAAGATGATATCTGAGATGGGATGATAAACTCTGATAAGTCTTCTATGGACCGAGAAGTCTTTCCAGAGAAGTTCCAATGGTCATTGAATGGAATGAAGGTTCTGAAGATCTGAAATGGTTTTTATGAAAAACAAATTTTTCGTGAACCAATGCCGGTTAGATGTGTTCTATAGAAAGAACCCCGTATGAAGATTATATCTCAGAAGCATTCAATAGAAAGAAGATCAATGTAAAGTTTTTTTTTTAAGAAGAAGACGTCCGAGAGGTCTTCCATGGAAAGAGACCTCCGAGAGGATATGTATGACTACAAAATGTCCGAGAAGTCTTCACTGGATGGAAGGCCTCCAATTGATGCTCTATGGGAAGATGATCTCTGAGAGGTCTTCTATTGAAAGAAAATATCTGAGAGGAGGTCTGCTATAGAAAAAAATTCCCTGAGAGGTCTTCATTGGGAAAATGGGTTCGGAGAGGTTTTCTTTGGAAAGATAGTGAGAGATCTTCTTTGGAGAAATGTTTCTGGTATGTATTCAATGGAAATATTGCTCTTAAAAGACTTCTATGATCTTCGATGATCTTCAAGGGGGCTTTTATTGAAAGAAGGGTGACCTTTGAGGTGTTCTATAAGAAGAAGATCTCCGGGAGATTTCTGAAAAGTCTAATTTAGAAAGAAAATCTTCCAGAGGTAAAGAATAACAGAAGACCTCTAAGAAATCCTTCATGGAAAGTGGACCTCTAAAAGTTTTTTTTTTATGTGAAATGTCAATGAAATGTTTTCTTATAAGAAGAAGAACTATGAAAGTTCATGTATGGATAAAAAATACCTATGAAAAGATTTTTAAAGAAGATAAATTTATTTAAAGGAACAGTGTTGGCTTGTTTGTTCGGGATACCGTAGAATTTTGTTATTCCAAAATGGTCAGGCTTTATCCCTTTATTGTTGTTTTTTTTATAAAAACAACGTTTGTTTATTAGTGGAGAACGATGGTAATGTTTACCAGGGGGTAAGGCAGGAAATACCTAGGTTTCGGAAAGAGCCACCAATCATCATCAGTTCCCTTGATTTTTGTCTGGGATATTCTCCCCAGAAGTTATTTAAAAAAACAGTAAATAAAGTCTTTATGATACCCAACACCACTTTGCTAATTTAGTAGAGCTCCGCATAACAATTAAAAGTTTTTAAGGGAGAATTCAATCAAACACGCTATGATTATAATTATAATTTAAAATTCAATGGATTAAATATGCCGAAGCATTTGTATCTTATAAATTCGGACTTGTATTGCCCATTTGGTGCACAATTAATTTGAAATCGGATAAAGATATATATGAGAGCTATATCCCAATCGGAGCCGATCTCTATAAAATTTGGCAAAGATATTTCTGAGCTGTATTTGATATATTTCCCTTAATATCGTTGTTACGGAGTCCATATTACGGATGTGGGTAACAAATATAACAAATCGGATGAACATTATATATGGTAGCTTTAGCTATATCTGAACCGATCTTCACCAAATTTGACATACTAGCTTTTAGACTCAATTCGGTTGTAAGTGCTAAGTTTCATCCAATTTGGGCAAATATTAGACGTTTGGTGCACAATATAAAGTAAATCGGACGAAGTTATATATGGGAGATATATCCAAATCTGAACCGATCTCGATAAAATTTAGGAAATGTATTTCGGATTTATATTTGATAAATTTCCCCAAATATTGTTGTTACAGAGTGCATATTACGGCTGCGGAGGACAAAAATAACAAATCGGATGAACAATATATATGGGTGCTATAGCTATATCTGAACCGATTTCGATCAAATTAGGCATGCTTATTTTCATGCCTAATTTGGTTGTATGTGCAAAATTCCATACTATTCGGGCTTATATTACACGTTTGGTGCACAATAAAAGGCAAATCGGACGAAGATATATATGGGAGCTAAATCTAAATTTTGACCGATTATCTCCAATTTCAATAGAGTTCGTCCTTGGGCCAAACAAATGATTTGTGCAAAATTTCATCTGGATAGGACAATAAATGCGAACTGTACATTGTTTACAAAAATACATGGACAGACGGACAGACGGTCGGTCGGACATGCATAAATCGACTAAGAATGTGATTCTATGCAGATAATCAAAAGGAACTATGGGTCTATCTCGTTTCCTTTTGCCTGTTACAAACAAATGCACAAAGACATACCCTGACCACCTTGTGGTGTAGGGTATAATAACTTCTATGACAAAAAACATTTTTTACCCAAGTGGCGAGATCAGGATGTATATAGCTTTCAGGGGTCTTCCCCTTTTCTTAATATAAAAAAAATCGGAGATCTTATTTCTTTTAGATAAATTCAGATATTTTCTTCCCTAACCCTTTAAGGGTTATTTTTTCATAGAAGATATTTAAAAAAAATTATTTTCTTCTTCTTAAGATCGAAAGCTAATAAAGCCCTTCTTCTCATACATCTTTCATGGGTGTCCTTTCAATAGAGTGAATTTTATCAGTATACTTTTTATAGAAAATTTTTATAGCTTTTTTTCCTGTGAGGGTCTTTCAGAGGTCCTGGTCAGAGGTCATTACATTTTTCTATGGGAGGCTTTAAAAAAAACTTTTTTATGAAATACCCTTTGTCGGCTCCCTATATGGCTCTCTATAGATGACTTTTCAGATAAATCTTCTGTTCATATATGAATTCCAAAGGGTTGATAGATGGTCTTTAAGTGGTCTTCTTTTCACAGAAATCAGAAATTTCTCCAATAAAGAAATTATAAGATCTTATATTTGTTAAAGACCTATAGTATTTTCTCAGTAAAATTCCAACCCAACGTCTAATAGTAATAATAAAAATTTTCAGCAGATTCTCATATTACCTATCCAAAATTCCCAAATACTTTAAATACCAAAATTTGTTGTTTTGCTTCTCACCAGTGGAAAATATTTTTCAAATCATTTTGAATTACAAAAAAAATTCACCATAAATTATACTACTTTATTGATGAATGGGGTGGGAATTTTTTCGAAAACCATTGAACGAGTGCTAATGAATGAAAGAGAGCCGCCCGCGCACCACCCGCATGTCATTAACGCTTTCATCTCCCACCATCTGACAGCAAATCAAAAGTGCTGCTAATCGATGCTTTTCGTTACGAAAAGAAAACAATTTTTCAATATTTAATGCAATTCGTTTTAATCTAATTTTTCTATAAAATTTGTAATTTTTTTTCCTTTTTTCAGAAACGTGTTAATGCCGTTATTGTTGCTGTTTGCGGGTTTAGACACAAATTAAATTCCGTTGGCAAAAAAAAAAAACAGTGGCGGCAAAAAGTTTGTGAATTCCACGGCAACACAAAAAAAATGTTAAAAGAATGAATGAAACGTGGCATAAAGTTCAAATCCCGCAAAAAATGGGGAAAATATTTCTGCTACAATAAATTTCAATCGTTCGTCGCTTATGGTCGGAAAAAAGAAGAAAACAAATATTCTCTGTAATAAAAATGCAAATTTTAATGGCGGCAATGTTTAATATCTGCTGCCATTGATGTGTTTACCTGAAATGTGAAGAAGAAGAAGAAAAAAAGTTTTAATACCGCAAAGTTCACTTCATTTCAAAACGATTGCAAAATTTTGAACGCAAAACGACAAGGAATTACAAAGTTTTTTTTTTTTTCGCTGTTCTACCTGTAACTCGAGAAGGAAAACTTCTTTCATAAAACAATTTTGTGCAATCCCTGAAGTTAACATACCGATCGACCGACACACACACACACCTCTACAACCACATGCAGGGAAAATGTTGAAAATTATGGTAAGTGTAATTAGAGTTCATTCACTCCTCCGACTCCTCCCCTCTCGAGCAGGAATGTTGAAAGTTTTATTCGTTGTTTCAAAATTTGTTCGCTGATGCAAAGAGAAGAGCATAACTTTTGTGGTTTATGAAAGTACTTTTAATTATGAGGTTAATAAATTTTTAACAAATCTGTTTTTATAGCCTCCACCATAGTACGGAGGGTATATAAGGTTTGTCATTCCGTTTGTAACACCACGAAATACACATTTTAGACCCCACAAAGTATATATATTTTTGATCAGCATAAAATTCTATGTCGATTTAGCTATGTCCGTCCGTCTATCCGTCTGTGAAAATCACTCTAGCTTCCGAACGAATTGGAGTAGATTGATAAAATTTTACTCAAATATATGTTATGTCTGCAGGACTTTTAGTATTGAAAATGGGCCATGTAGGTCCACGATTTGGTATTATTAACCTCCCGATATTCGGTATTTTGATGATTTTAGCGACATTATTCACCGGAATTGTTTCAAATTTGGCATTTGAAGTTCGAAACGAATACTACAGTCTAAGACAGAAAATTGTCTGTGTAGGTCCACGTTTTCGTATAGCCCCCATATAACGGTACCTCCTGATATTTGGTATTTTGATTATTTCAGCGAAATTATAACCGTTTTTTTAAGTTTCGTATTCGAATATTGTAATGGCTTACGACAAATGTTACCTATGCGGGGGTAATGTTGTCGTATAGACCCTAATACAACAGCTATATTCGGTATTTTTAAAATTTTAACAGAATTTTTAACGGATTTTTTTATTTATTTTTATACCCTACACCACAAGGTGGTCAGGGTATTATGTCTTTGTGCAATTGTCTGTAACAGGCAAAAGGAAACGAGATAGACCCATAGTTCCTTTTGATGATCTGCATAGAATCACATTCTGAGTCGATTTATGCCTGTCCGTCTGTCCATGTATTTTTGTAAACAAAGTACAGTTCGCATTTATTGCCCTATCCAGATGAAATTTTGCACAAATCATTTGTTTGGCCCAAGGACGAACCCTATTGAAATTGGAGATAATCGGTCAAAATTTAGATATAGCTCCCATATATATCTTCTTCCGATTTGCCTTTTATTTTGCACCAAACGTGTAATATCAGCCCGAATAGTATGGAATTTTGCACATACAACCAAATTAGGCCTGAAAATAAGCATGCCTAATTTGATCGAAATCAGCGCAGATATAGCTATAGCTCCCATATATATTGTTCATCCGATTTGTTATTTTTGTCCTCCGCAGCCGTAACATGCACTCTGTAACAACAATATTTGGAGAAATATATCAAATACAGCTCAGAAATACAGTTGCTAAACTTTATCAAGATCCGTTCAGATTTGGATATAGCTCCCATATATAACTTTGTCCGATTTACCTTTTTTTGTGCACCAAAAGTCTAATATTTGTCCAAATGGGATGAAATTTGGCACTTACGACCGAATTGAATCTAGAAGCTAGTGTGCCAAATTTGGTGAAGATCGGTTCAGATATACCTATAGCTCCCATATATATTGGTCATCCGAATTGTTATATTTGTTACCCACAACCGTAATATGCACTCCGTAACAATGATATTCAGGGAAATATATCAAATACAGCTTAGAAATATCTTTGCCAAATTTTATCGAGATCGGTTCCGATTTGGATATAGCTCCCATATATATCTTTATCCGATTTCAAATTAATTGTGCACCCAATGGGGAATACAAGTCCGAATTTAGAAGATACAAATGCTTCGGCATATTTAGTCCTTTGAACTTTAAATTATAATTATAATCATAGCGTGTATGATTGAATTCTCCCATAAAAACTTTTAAATTTTATGTGGACCTCTACTAAATTAGCAAAGTGGTGTAGGGTATCATAAAGTCGGCCCCGCACGGCTTTAAGACTTTCTTTGCCGGTTTTAGAATAGAGTAGTATTTTTCAAGAATATTTTAGGAGCTTTTCTCGCAATTTTTTTTTTCGTAGACCTTCTGCCTGAGATATTGAATTTTTTGTTTTAATTCAGGAAAATATGAATAATTTCTAAAAACAAAATGCCTTTGCAATTAACCTCTACCAAAGGTCAGCTATCTTCTGGAGGGGAATTTTTGTTTTTAGGAATTTTTTTAAATGCCACTCAATTTTCATATTCCACTGCTTACTTCTAATGAAGTGTTTTGTTTCGAATGAAATATTCCCAAAACAAATATTTAAATAAATGATAAATGTTTGTTACGATAAGCTGGAATAAATTCAGGTTCACCGAGTGCATCTCTGCCTCGCCATTAGGGGTAGCCAGCCAAATCGTTCGATGAATTATGAAAAATGATGATTGTCAAACACTTGATAACAACAATAAGACTGTCGGCAGCAGAAGTAGTAGCAGCAGACGGGCAGCAACAACAAATTAAACAAAAAATAAAATAACGCCACTTGTATTATCGTTTAATTACTGGCTGGCTGAGGAGCTGGCTGTCTGGCTGGCTGGGTGACTAAAGGCAAATATAAATATTTATTTAAATTATTTCCATAGATTTGTTTGAGTTTTCGAGGGCAAACAACAAGAATCTTTTTTAAAAATGCTCAAACAAATAAAATCAGAAACCTTTACGGCCATGACGGGGTCTTCGTTGGAAATATATTTTTCTGCATAAATTTCTAAATTAATATTTAGATAATAATTAGGGGAAAATAGAAGTAGAACTTTCCGGGGAAGTTATTATCAGCGATAAAAAAAAAAAATAAAATTTTCATAAAATTTGCTTTACATTTTTGCGGATTTTTTTAGGATTTTAAAATCTTAATTGCCCCTATGAAAGGAAACCCCATTAAATATCGGCATGTTATTTTTCCCCCTACTAACTTTGTCACCATTCCACCACTTGACTCACATGCACATGCCGCGACTACTGTTCCGACGAAGGTCACCGAGAATATTCATATATTCATGCAAACTTAAAACGAAAAGAAGAGAAAAAAAATTAAACAAAAAAACACACACACACACCAACACATATTAAACCAGTAAAGAACGTCCTAAAGTCGGGCGGGGCCGATTTTATGATACCCTACACCACTTTGCTAATTTAGTTGAGCTCCACTTAATAATTAAAAGTTTTTATGGGAGAATTCAATCATACACGCTATGATTATAATTATAATTTAGAGTTTAAAAGACTAAGTATGCCGAAGCATTTGTATCTTTTAAATTCGGACTTGTATTGCCCATTTGGTGCGAAATTAATTTGAAATCGGATAAAAATATATATGGGAACTATATCCAAATCTGAACCAATCTCGATAAAATTTGGCAAAGATATTTCTGAGCTGTATTTGATATATTTCCCTGAATATCGTTGTTACGGAGTGCATATTACGGCTGTGGGTAACAAATACAACAAATCGGATGAACAATATATATGGGAGCTAAAACTGAATCTATCTGAACCGATCTTCACCAAATTTGGCATACTACCTTCTAGACTAAATTCGGTCGTATGTGCCAAATTCCATCCCATTTGGACAAATATTAGACGTTTGGTGCACAATAAATGGTAAATCGGACGAAGTTATATATGGGAGCTATATCCAAATCTGAACCGATCTCGATAAAATTTAGCAAATGTATTTCTGAGCTGTATTTGATATATTTCCCCAAATATTGTTGTTACAGAGTGCATATTACGGCTGCGGAGGACAAAAATAACAAATCGGATGAACAGTATATATATGGGAGCTATAGCTATATCTGAACCGATTTCGATAAAATTTGGCATACTTATTTTCAGGCCTAATTTGGTTATATGTGCAAAATTCCATACTATTCGGGCTGATATTACACGTTTGGTGCACAATAAAAGGCAAATCGGACGAAGATATATATGGGATCTATATCTAAATTTTTACCGATTATCTCCAATTTCAATAGGGTTCGTCCTTGGGCCAAACAAATGTTGTTTGCAAAATTTCATCTCAATCGGATAATAAATGCGACCTGCATTTTGTTCACAAGAATACATGGACAGACGGACGGACGGACGGACAGACGGACTGACATGCATAAATCAACTCAGAAAGTGGTTCTATGCAGATCATCAAAAGGAACTATGGGTCTATCTCGTTTCCTTTTGCCTGTTACAAACAAATGCTCAAAGACATAATACCCTGACCACCTTGCGATGTAGGGTATAAAAACAAACACTTGACCATAAAAATTCAATCGATCTCTGTTGTTTATCCATAAAAATGGAGCGTTTCGCTTTAATAATTCCGTTATTGTGAATAAAATCGCTGATTTTCTTAATGAATGTGGATTGTGTTTAAATTAATTCTCAATAAAAAAATATAAATAAACAGAATTGAACGAGAAATAATTTTGCAGATTTAATGCTGTGAAACGGGGAATTTCATCATTTCTAATGGGAGGGAAATTCGGAACTGTTTAGGTAGGGTTTTGTAATAAGGGTGGCACATAGGTGTTCAGAACTCGATTTTCGTAGTCAAAATCACAGTTTTGGCCTCTCTGGTAAATAAATTTATAATGGGATCCATTAGTAAACATATTAAAGTTCAGAACTCGATTTTCGTAGTCAAAATCACATTCTCGGCATCTCTGCTACATAAATAAGTAATGGGATTCATCAGTAAAAATTTCAAAACAGAGATGACCAAAAAATTAAGTTAATAAAGAAAGGTCAAAAGTCGAGCTGGGCCCACTATATAATACCCTAAACCCCTGTGCATAGTGCATATTTATTAGAGCTACCCGTAGATAATTAACATTCTGAAAAAATCTGAACCGATATAAATAAAATTTAGCCGAGATATTATTTAATATCTGATACCCAATATCATTGTTGTGGATTGTATACAGGGTTGCCCATATTTGACAGACCTTTGGGCCCATTCCAATCGACGAGTCTTGTCCGCAGGCAACATTCTTTGCGTCAATTGAATTTTGTACGGGAACA